GGTTGCACTCTTTGCAGCTTTCCAAATATGTTTTCCTCTGGCAATAAATCCATCAGACTGAATGAAAATGCTTCAGCGTCTTTCCAAAAGTTGCTTGTCCAGAGTTGAATTTGCAAAAAACAACAAATCACCCTGAAAGCTACTTCTTTCAACATTATTTTTCTTTTATTGTGTCAAATATTCTTCTGCATGATACAACACACAATTGAGTTTTCAAGATCTCACACAGAGAAGACACGTAAAGACACATGCTAGACTAGCAGCCATACATACATAAAACTAAAAACAAAAGGGACTAATATTGACAACTCACAGCGATAGTGTGAACTGTACAAATGAACAATTATTGAGCCAATTTATTTGTTTTGGAGGCTACATTTGAGCTCCAGCTAAGAGTCTCTCCGCCTCGGGGAACAAGCTGTTCCTCAGCACCTGATGCTCCGCAGCCTTCTGCCAGAGGAGAAGGGAATGAACATTTTGTTTCTTGGATAAGATTTTTTAATAAACTCCTTACTTTGAGATAGTTTAATTACAATTGTATAAGTGCTAAAAGGGAAATACACTTCTGGCTCCTTGGTCCAGCAGCTCACCGCCATCAGTGTGTGAATGTGTGTGTGCATGGGTGAATGGCTGAATGTGTGTGTGCATGGGTGAATGGCTGAATGTGTGTGTGCATGGGTGAATGGCTGAATGTGTGTGTGCATGGGTGAAGGACTGTAGTGTGAAATGCTTTGGGCTCCTCTGGACCTCATAAAGTGCAATAGAGGTAATTTACCAAAAGTTAAATCTGCGTTTCAAAAAGGTTTTAATTCACCTGCACACATAAAGATTGGAGTGAAGGAAAGTACAGATTTTCCACCAGGGATGTTTAATTTCTTTACCCTTTAAAAGAATGATGGACATATCAGGGAAAAAAGTGAAGCAAAGTATAATCAGAAGTTTGAGTTTCTGTCTTACTGTTTGACTCCAGCAGCCATGGCCTGGAAAAAAAGCAACTATGCATAGATCCACATCTTCAGATCAGGCGCGTCAAACTCATTTTCGTTTTGGGCCAAATCAAGATCATGAAGGCTCTTAAAGGGTTGGTTGCCAAATCAAGATCATGAAGGCTCTTAAAGGGCCGGTTGTGCCAGAATGTATTGATAAAACCTGTTCACAAACTGTTAAAATCTCAACGAATTCTTCAAATTAAATATTATTGAACATCTTTTCAGTCCCTCCATGTTTTCGTGATACATTTTGTGATTTTTTATTTTTTTTTTGCAATAAAACCAAAGTGTTTGTGGTACCAACTTGGACATATTTGCATTTATTTATCACAGTAAATGTAACTTTTTAATTACTCGCTGTATAGATCATTGACTATGATAGGACATCAATTAAGGCTGAGGCAGCTGTTTAGTACAAGTAAGAAAGTTTTTGACAATTTTTGAGAAAAATTTGCAATAAACTCCCAATTATGCATTAGCGCAAAAAAAGTGTGTGAATTTTAGATTTTGTATGAATTTCCACAATAATTCTCAAGAAACTGGAGGGACTGATTGATATAATTTGGCAGTAAACAGATAAAACTGCATTGACTTAATTGATAACATAATAGTTAAGCACACCTAGTGTTAAGTCTTGAATCTAGACGGCCACATAAAAAGCTGTGGCGGGCTGGATTTGGCCCACGGGCCTCGAGTTTAATTTAGAGTAACAAGTTTGTCTTCTAATCGTGTTTTTGGAATGAAACACTTGCCAAATAATTTCTGCCAATATCCTTTTCGCTTCATAATCGATTGTTTTTATGATGCAAAGCACTTTGAGCTGCCTTGTTGAGGGAATGTGTTGTACAAATAAACTTGATTTGACTTTTTAACAGAGTGGTTATTGCCTCAGAGTAAGTAATTATGTCCATGATGTTGCTCTATAATGTGACTTGATCTAGTCCCACACTAAAATCAGTCCTTGCTGCTGTTTGCTCAGAGTTCATCCACACGGCATTCCCTGCTGGTTTCCTCCTGCTGCCTCCAGCTGTTTGTGTTTTCTCTTATATGTAAATGTACAGCAGGTAGAAGTGATATTTTCATAAAGATTTCAGGATCAGTCACACACAACGTAGCGATGCATACATTACTGGATGTGTGTGCAGCTAATACATAATTCATCAGGTCAAAACACCTTCTTCACCAAAACAAACAAACAAATCAAAGTAATTTTTATGGTACGTTGACCCAACAGCCTTCACAATCAGTTAATCATCTATACATGATGTACACATGTCTTCAAAATTAAACATTTACACAGTTTATTTGTTTGATTTCTTAAAGCGGGGTTGTGGCTAGTAGATGCAAGCAGTCAGTATCTTATTTGCTGCCAGAACAAAATGACTTGCTTCAGCTTTGCATATGAGGAATATAAACAGAGTTCAATGGTGACTTACACTGTGTGTCCTCGGTCCATTTCTCCACATCCAACGCTAAACACCAGTGAACCTGGTCAGAATAACTATCTGAAGCAAAAGGTAACGAGTATTAGGGCCAGGTTAAGAGAAAATAAAGTAAAAAATGATATGAGAATAAAGTCGTAATGTTTTGAGATTGGACATTACAAACATGTTATCAGCAGCAGACGTGTTAACAGGTTAAGTATTTCCTTATCTGTAAGACTTATAGCTAAGTAAAACTTCACAAGATGCTCAATGTTCTTCACTTTGCTGCAGTCATAAAACTGATTTTTTTGCGTCTCAGTTCTCACAATATTATGACTTTATTGTCGTAATTTTAAAACCGTATTTTCGTAATCCTTTTTTTCTGTTGTAAAAAGCTTACTGTTCAAGTCTCTAAAGTTTTGCTTTCTCTTTACTTCAGGATGATTCTGACACGCTTCGTTTTCCTTCTGTGGTTACTCAGGACTATAGACAAAGACAAAAGGGCCTTTTTGCAATAAAAAATACATAAATAAAATAGCAGCAGTGTAAATGTTGCCTGATACATCTGAAATTTTAGTTTTATTTCACAAAGTTAGATGTATTTTTCCTGTTGCATTTTTCTTCAGTTTTTGTCCTTTTTTTTAATCCAAATTGAATGTTTCAGATCAGAAAACAAATTTTATCAGACGAAGAAAACTTGAGTTAATATGACCAACATTTCTTAAAACATGGTTCCATTTACTCAACACTTTCCAAACCTGGTGGAGCTCCAGCAAAGAAAACAGGACGTGAACAACGCCTCAGCCAAACGTCAGCGACTTTGTAAAATCAGATCCAATCGTTTCAAACTTCAGAGTCCACGCTTCCAGCAAGCAATCATTTCTCAATTACCGAGGGTCCAGACCCTCTGAGCAAAGCAAAGCGTAGATCAAGGGGCTGCTTTTTAATAGGAAAAGTAAAAACACACACATCAAAAAAAGTTTGATTTTGTTTCATCAGTTCATAAAATGTTTTCTTGGGGATCGTGACGATTTTTTCTTTTTGAGTAGAAAAGCTTTCAATTTGGGCCTTTGTGTTCTTTTTGCTCTGCAGTGTTTCTTTTCTTGGAACGCCCCCATTTTATCTAATCCCTTTGACTCATGAACTTTGACCCTTGCTAGGCCTGCAGTGCTTCAGCTCTCGCTCTGGGATCTTCTCCGACCTCCTGGATGAATCATTGATGCGCCCTGCAGTCGTTTTAGTTGGTCAACAACAAAAACTTACTCATGAATTTGTAGCCTCTCACAGGCTGACAGATGTCACTCAGTTTGTGCCTCATATGATCTTTTCTTTGTGAAAATAAACCAATTTTTCCTCAGCTGAGACAAAGATGGGTTTGTAACTCTGATGGCTCACTGAAACACTTATGGTGGGTTCAAAGAACCTCATTTCCAAAAATCCAATCAATCTCTTTAACCTGAATCAGGTGCAGTTTTTTTCACTCCTCTGAAATGTGTATCGTGTTTTTCTTTTTCTGCGACAAACTTGACAAAAGTATCTGTCAGTGTGCTGAGGAAATGTTAGAGAAACTCAACATGTATCCAAAGAGCAAATCAAACAGAATTTATTTTTCATGGATTCACAAAAAGAAATTAGACACAACCAGGTTGTTTTCTTAAATCTTTTAAACCGTGTACAGTTTGGCGACCTCTTGACAAATGCTTAAAGTTTAAAGTGGGAATTAAACATATAAAAAATGACACTATGTTAAGTTTCAACCATGTGCACCAGAAATAACAATCTGCCCCTTCACCTGCCTGCCATTACAATTTTAATGTTTAGTACTTTATTTATTATAGTTACATTGTACACGCCACATTCAAACACTCAAGATAAAACACACAAACTGTTTTCTGTCTCTCTTTTTTTTGTGCAAATCCTCGACGGTTCAATTCTTATAGCACAACATTATAAAAATGGTTCTATATTTTTTTTTACATCATCTTGCTTCTGTAAATAAATATGATCCCTGACTCAAACTCCAGACAGAATGAAATAAATACATAGAAGTGAATTATTGGTGTTATTTACATCACAATGTTACGGTTCAGATGTCGTTGAACTGGATATAAAACCTTCACCAGAAAGTCTTTTCATCAAATTTAACATCTTCACTTGGTGATGCATTCTGCTTAACATGATCCAATAGAAAAAAAAATAAAAGTGTGGGTGCATAGAAAACGGCTGTGCAATCGTAGTGAGAGTTACATTCACTTTAAAAAGATACACCAAATACATTTTCATAAAAGAAAGTCTTTTTTTTTTACTTTAAGCAGTGATAGTGAATCTTTCACTGATTGGGCACACAGAAATTCATAAAATTAACATAAGCACTACATGGACTGCATGAAGATCAAACTATATGCAAGCGACAACAAAATACTTTAAATTTACTTATATTTCTTTTCCATTTCAAGCAAAAATGTTTGTAAAAATGGATTGAATGTTGCCATTTGTGTATAAAAGTAACATAAAGCTTTAAAAAATGTCAATGCAGAACCCAACTGATGCAAAATGTTTATCATATTTATTAATTTTTGTTCCCTCGTATTATTTGGCATCGATTATTTCGAATCACACTCATTTCAACACAATCACAGAGTCTTTTGGAAAAATGAAAGCGCCCCTCTTCAGCGCGGCTCCCTCGGTGTGACGCGCTTTTACTACCGGCATCAAGTACAACGATTCATTTGTCTCGAGTGAACACCTCAGTCCGGATGCTCTCATGACCTCTGAGAAAATAAGAGACGTGCTTGCTGCACTCGCTCTTGAAGCCATCGTGTACCATGAGTAAATGTCCGCTGGTGCAAACAAACCCCCGGATCCCTCCAGACCTCATGATGACAGCAGCAGTGAAGAAGGTCTGATGTTGGACATGTGCTCGTCCAAAACGTCAGTAAAAACACGCTGCCCAGTCACGCTCACTTCAAATCGTTAAATCATAAGCAATAAATATTACATTAAACATGGTAAGCTTATCTTGTGATTCCTTTTAGAAGTGATCTAAATGGGGTGTTTCTTTTTTCTTTTCTTTTTTTTTTGCATATTTTCCCCCTTTACCATCGGTGCACGGTCTTTAGAAAGCTGAGAGTTTTGTGCTAAAAACAAAACAAAATGTCGTCTTCAGACACTGGTTTCATCTCCCTCCTGTGGGTACGAGCGACGCTGCGCCCGATCCTCCAGACTGATGTCCTCCGTCGTGGTGCTGCCCCTGCTGGTGGCGCCTCTCTGAGGCGGGAAGGTGAACTGCAAGACCTGTCTGTTTTTGGCGGACCTGGCGTTGCCCGTCCCGTTGCTGTAGGAGACCACCAGCCTGCGGCTCTCCTCGGGCGCGGCCGAGCAGGGCGGGTGGCAGTTGGCCCTGTTGGCGCGGGGCGAGTCATTGCTCGGGTCGCTGGCATTGTTGTCCTGAAGGTCGGTCAGGTTCCCGGTGGCGATGCTGCCGCTCTTGACGTGCGGCGTCTGGCTGTGGGTGTGGCGGTATTCCTCGTCTATGTCCTTCCCCAGCTTCCACCTCTTCCACTTTTTCAGCATCTCGGACTGAACCTGAGAGGCGATTGGAGTGGAGAAGCGCAAAGGGGCGCAGACGACAAGCAGCACTTCGTTAGATGAAGGACGGCTGGCCAACGACTGCGTGTAAAAGCTTAGATTTGTAGATGGCTATTGTTGCGGCACAACTTCTATTCAAGATCAAAAATGAAATTGCTTTTAGCTTTACAAACGAAACAGTAAGTGGTTCAAGCGGAAATATCAAGCACTGCAACAACGGCGAGGATCAAACTAGAGTGTTCCTGGCGTGAAAGCAAGAGCGCCTCACCTCTTTGTTGACGAAGCAATACAGTATGGCAACCAGCAGGCCCTGCAATGAAAGTCGGACGTTTAATCTGAACAGTTTTCTATTATTTTAAAGAAATAGCTAAACCAAGCAATATTCCTGCTTTCTCAGTCTGCTGCTGTGAGTAGTTTTCAGTCGTTCTCGCCGCAACTTCACTCAACCAGCCCTGGGAAGTAATTGAAGGAGTCATCGTGTTGGCATGATTAAATCATGCTAATCGAGACGTAATCAGCTGAGGAACGTCGGACCCTAAACAGTCAGAGCGTTTCCATGTCACACAGGCGTAACAACGCTGTGCCAAGTGGTTGTGTAACAAATTGGACCAGAGAGCGGAAGCAGATTTTTAAACATTGCTCTTCAGCTCTTTGAAGTTTACTGAAGTGCTACACCGGTTTAAGGGTTGAATTGATCTGTTTCACCCGGATAAATCAAGTGAAAGCTGGAAATGTGAGTTTGAAAAGTAAAACCACAAGTGCAAATTTATGGCCAGTGTGGCAAAGTAAAAGGCTTTTTCCAACTTCAAATAGATTTTGCAGTAAAAAAAAGTGGAAGAAATACCATCTTCCGAGTCCTTCGAAAAGGCTACAAATACAGACGCTTCTCACTGAATTGAATTTCACCCAGAAGTTTATTATATTTAAGTGATTTATTTAGACTCGCTGCACAGAGTCACGTGTTTCAATTGCTTATTTATTTGATTTGGCTGAACATGGCTTCCACGTAAACTCAAATGTAGTTTCTCTGAAACATTTAATTTCACACAAGACAATTTAAACCTGGAAATGTTCTGAGTTCTTTTAGAGAAGCGTTCAGGCGCCCTGCTGAGGTGTTCAGGAAGCCTCTGCTGCTTCAACAGCAGCTATCAGTACATCTGCATCGCTGGGTCTCGACAATACTCCATCGATTCTCAATGGGGATTAAATCAACTCTGTTGACCAATCAGGCACAGTGAAATCATGATAATTAAAACAAATATTGACACTTTTGGAAGTGTGAGTAGGTCAAAGTGCTGATGGTAAAAGATTTAATCATCTCCGTTAAGACTGTCAGCTCAGGGAAGCATGAAATGCTTGAAAACTTCCTTGAAGACATCTGTAGTGATTTATTACTTGTGGACCGTTTGGTTCTGTCTCCCAGCTCCTCGTCCAGTGAGACTTGAACACAATAAATGCAACATTCTCAGCTCTGACTCAAGCTGCAGTCCATGTCTTCGACAGCTGCGTCAAACTCTGCAAGGCGTTTTATTTATTAATTTTTTTCTAAATCACCTCCAGGCTGCGGTTCTCTCCTGCTGCACCTTTTCCTACCACATTATTCTATCAACTCTACTCTCCGTTAAAATGCTTGGCTACAGCAGTCCGTGAACCACCATCTTCTTTAATCTTATTTACTTTTTGTGGTTTGCCTTGTGCAAGACGCTTTTTATGTCACACAAGCGGTTAGCAAAGCAACATTTTTGCATTTGTCACGTCATATTTGCATTTTTAGAGCTGCTGAATCTATTGTTCATCATCAGTGAGTTTTATTTTTTTTAATTGAATTGCTTAAATAAAATAAGCTAATTAATTAAATGAATTAAGATGCGCTTGTTAGTGAAAAATAATTGAATGTGCAACAACATATGCATGTTGATTAGACAGCTGGCTTTTGAAGGTGCAGATAGGGCAAAGAAAGGAAAAATACCTTGTTTGTTATTCTTATAAAGGGTATAAACAGCTAAAGCATGGGATTCGTAGTGCTAATATATTGTAGAAGTAAAAGTTGTGAGTTCAGACCTGGAAGGAGTTGAACAGGAGGTCACAGAAGAGCCGAATGAGGCGAAGCATGGAGCCCTTTGGGACGGACTCGTCGATGACGAAGGTGAAGAGGATGGCGTGAATGCCGAGCAGCGGGATGAGAGTCAGCGTGGATTTCGCCAGCCTGCGAAACAACAACAACAACAAAAAAACAGTGAAGACTTTTTACATGTGACACATAACCAAAAGGTAAACTCTTATCGTAAAATCCAACCACTTCCTCTGCAGAATAGTTGGTGTAAGATGAAGATTATAGAGTAAGGCTTTGAAAAAAAAAAAAAAAAAACAGAAAGTGAAAGTGAAAAATACAATAAGCTGCAGAAAAGAAAAAAAAACAATGGTTGATCAATAAAGGTGCATTTGCAATGCCATTTCCATTTTTAATGCCATCTTCTGTTTAATTAAATTAATGTAATGTAAAATAATCATTGTTTACCAATCCCCGGGCAGTTGTGATTGTCTTAATATGTGTCACAGAACATAGACCCAATGAATTATTCTGAATATATGAGACAGAGTTACCTTCTCTGTAGAGATGCTGAAAAGCATCTTCACTTCCTTTCATTAAATATTTCCACGAAGGTTGTCTGATTCATCAGCATATTTGAATTTAAGCTCAACAATGCTATTTAGCAAAGGTGGCTGCATTTTGCTCTCAAACAGAAATGAAACTTCTGTAGAGAAACTCAAGGTTATCAGTAAATATGATCTACAGAAGGGGATATAGACTGGGAGACGACTGAAATAAACTGCTAGGACTATTGAACCAGTAAGGTCAGTGACCCGTCACAAAGCTTCACCTTTGGTTCAGGATAGACCAAGTTTGTCGACCAAAGCTTTTTTCAGGGTGGATTTTTACCTGTTTTTGTCAGTTTTGGTACTGGAAATGTACCTTTAAGATTTACTCTCTTTTTAAAATTCTTCATGTTATGAACTTTCAAAAGTACCTTCATTTACTGATTCATTTTCAATAAAAGGGCATTGTCTCACCTGAATTTGTAGTCAGTGTATCTCATCTGATGAGCCCTGAGTTTAGACATCAGGATTTTAATTATTCGGATGAAGATGAAGAAGTTAATCTGAAATAGAGTCACAGAAAAACATCCAGGGAAACAATTTAGAAACTGAGGAAAGAAATTCATGGAAAAACAAGGTTGACATTTTGAAGCTGCAGTAGATATTTTTTTGTAAAGGTTCTGCACATAAAAACGCATCACTCTGTCGTGAGAATTTTCTTCTTCTCCTGATGGGGCGGGAGTATCTGAACATGGAGGGGTATTTGCCTCCAAAATAAAAGCATTACATTGAGACCTACGCATGGTGATCAAGTTCATGGCCAATTCTGAAGACGCAGATTCTAAAGATTTCTGTAGACTCTTATTAATACAGCACTCAAGTTTTTGCAGTTTGAATTTCGTCACATGGAATCAGGAGTAAATCAGCATGAACTGCTCTTCACATCAGCAAACATCCACATGTGAAAGTCTGGAATTCACGGCCAGCAATTATTTTGCATTCATTTATTGATGCTTTATTGATAAGGTAAGTTCTTTACAAAGTACAGGTGGATGTTTTTGCAGTCTGTCATGTTTGCACGGTGAGCGCTGGCATCTCATTTCTTGACTCCTGCTATGAGTTTAAAGTTAATCTCAGAGAACCAACAGGTGTCGACGGCACTGACCTAAACGTTTTGCAGTCAGCCTTTCCACTGGTTCTCAGCTTTGTAAACAGGGCTGCAAGGCACATATCTGCACTAAATCTAAGTGGAAGGATGACTCATGATGCGGAACAGAAGAGGGTCTTGTTATTGCAAACGTTAACAAGAGATTGTTTGGTGAATGACAAAAACATCATTTTCTTTTTTTATATGCAAAGTGCATGAGGAGACACTTTTTAAGCAACTTCAAAGAAGAAGGAGTGAGATTACTTTCTTTTCAGGAGAGCTGGGTGAGATTTGTGAAAGCAAACAGGTGGGAGGATTATTAGTTTTCACCCAACATTTCTCTGTTGTGGCATCACCTACAAGGTTAAGGACAAAAGAAAAGGTGTAATTCTGGTTACTTTCAAAGCCCTGTGAGTTTGATAAGCTGCTTAATAGAAAACCAAAGTTTCTTTAAGCACAGCCTTGGTTCTCAGACCTCTCTTCACTCGGGCCGACACAAAAGGTACGCTGATGTTTGTGTTCCCCCTGCACAGTTACCTAGTGTCCTTGTATGTGAGGATTAACTGGGGCCACACTGTCTTAGCACAAACATCAGGAGGCACAGGCTGTTTAGTCAGCTGCTGTTAGAGGAGGTGATGCTGCAAGAACTTTTAAAAAAATAAAATAAAAGGGTTAGGGCTATAATACTAACGCAACAGCTTTTAATTTGAGGAAACGGTGAATTGAGCTAACAAATGCTGCTACTTTGGAAACTGCTGCAGGATTCAGAGTAGAGTAACACAAGGAAAGGAAAGGCTCCCTCTAGTTACTGACCGCATTGCTTTTCATGCAAGTTTTGGTTCTAAAATACTGGATTCATCAATTGTTCACATGTAAACTGGTGAAGGAGGGGAGGCACAGCATAAAGAGAACCAGAGTGACACACACAGACTTACCAGATAAGCAAACAATATGGGAGAACGGATTATCCACCAATACCCCATGTTAATATTCCTCTCCCAGCACCTAAAACACACGCGCACACACACACACACACACACACACACACAAATATAATACACTGCAGCTTATTGAGATTCTGTAAACGTTTTATTTATTTTTTTATTCTCTACAATATGAATAACCATCTGCCACTAAAAGCTTCAACAATGAAATCTCTTTCACGTTTCGTGTACTTACTCTAGGTTCTCATACAGATATTTCACCGTGATCCATGGCAGCACAAATATGAGAGGCGCACCTGAAAATAAGAGCAAGGTCACAAATGATCCGACTCAATCAAAGCAGCCTTTCTGGTCATGAACAGAACTAACATTTATTTATTTAATTATTCTATAACAGTTTTATTGAGTCGCTATGCAGCGTTAGACCGCTTCATTATGTAAAAAAATAAACACTTCAAGGTTTTCACCTTACTTGATGAGTACTTTTTGGGTGTCTTATTAGGCGATAAATTTGGCTGGAAACCACAGATCAGCCTGGTAAAATGTAAAATAGCCAAAAGTGTTGCTGTTCTAAGATGAACTAGTTTAGTCCTGGACTACAAATCTTTGTTTATTCTATATAACACACTCATTGTACCACATTTAACATATTGTGTGGAAGTTTGGGGGAATACATACAAAACACATTTACAGCCATTATACGTCTTACAAAAACAAAAAAAAGAATCCGAATACTACATAAAGTGGGATATTGGGAACACACAAACCAATTATTTATCAAATTAAATATACTGAAATTCTGGGACCTTGTAATATTTAAAACTTCACAATGCATGTTGAAGGTCAGAAATCAGAAACTTCCACACAATATACAGTAAATGTTTGGTGACAGAGAGGGTGGTTACAATTTAAGAGGTGAAGGATATTTTTAAAAAAACAACATATTAGAAGAACCAGGAAGAGTTTTTGTTTATCTGTGTGTGGAGTAAATGTCTGGAATGGATTGAATGATGAATTAAAAAAAGTACAAATGTAAAACAATTTAAAAAACTGATGAAAACAGAGCTTATTTCAAAATATGATATATAAGATGACTGTCTAATAGTCTATTATGCAATTGATGATATAATAATTGTACATAGTTAAACATCATGTAAAATGGAAACAGGTTGTCTCTTTTTGATGTTCTGAAAGTTAATTGATTATAAATTGATAAGTATGAAAGGAGCAGGACATTATAAGATATTATATCTTCTACCTGCTCCTTTTCGAACAGAAAATATAAAATTTGCATGTCACATGGGCAAAATAATTTGTTTTACATTTTATTTCTTAAGTTTGTTTCATTCTATTTTATTTTGTTTTTCTTTTTTTTTCTTGATTGTCTTTTCTGTCAGTTCGGAATAAATAAATAAATAAATAAATAAATAAATAAATAAATAAATAAATAAATAAATAAATAAATAAAACTTTAAAGATCTCTAATTTGGTCAGGGTATCTGTGGGGATCTGCAGCAGTTCCAGCTCACAGACGCCTGAGGCTACAGAACAACAACTCAGTTGCATCATGTCAACCAAATAAATAATTTATTATGGCCATGAGCTGATTTCCCCTCAGTGTTAGACCGGCCCTTCATTTCAGCTGTTGCATTAAGCCAATAAAATGCACAAAACTCACAATATTTAACCAGTTGAGGGAGTTGCCAATCATTAATGCACTAATGAACAAATTAAAGGATTAGGTTGTGTCCCTGGATTAGAAATGTAATTCTTATAAGTGTTGCTCCTGGAAACGGTGAACTAAAACGTATAAACCGTACAATCACACAGAATCTCTGTGACATAAAAAGAGGCTGAACTGTAAGGCAAAGAGGACGATTCTGTTGCATCGCCGTTAAAAGAAAAGCTCTAGCTTATGCGAATGTGACAAAATGTGAACATCTGGGGTATAAAAATTCATCTCATAACTCATTTGTTTTACCTGTCACTAACATATTAATGAAATAAACATCTTGGACTTGTATTAAGCTTTTGTCTTTGGGATTTCTTATTCTGATTTCAGTTCTGAATGTTACTCTTTCATGTTATTTTTTTTCCTTTTACATTTTGTAGATGTTTTAAGACTGAGCATGAAATGATCTCAGACATCTGTCAGCAAAGATGTTTCCTCGCTTCACAACAACTCCGGCATTCTTCTTGTTTTTTTTCTTTTCTTTCATCTGGTCTGAAGATATAGATGGTTTGCAAAAGGAGCAGATGTGCTTAGTCTCTTACTTTGTCTCGTCTGCTCCAAAAGCTTTGTGAAAAATAAAAAATAAAAAAAAAACCTTTCTGTCTTGCTTTTGTAGTGATGAAGTGAATTATTTATGGGATCTTATGAGATTTGGGTGTTTTTACAATAAAGAAAAAAAAAAAACCAAGAGGGATTATTCACTTGATACCAAGATGTTAAAATCCATAGTTGATCTAAGAGTTTATCATCACAGCAGACATTTGATTTGGTTTCACTGCTGCTGAGTTTGATCAGAGACATTTAGATCAATAAGGAGCTAAAAAGTTATATACATGTCAGTTTTTCTTCATGTCTTCTTTGACTAAAAGTCTTGTTAGTGTGTTTTTTTTTTTTTTTTTAAATAAAGCCCATGTCATGATAGAGGACATCTTTCATTGAACTCATCTCGCAGCACATCATAGAGGACCTTCTATAAAATACTCACACGAGCACCAAGACAATTCATTCATAACACAAATGGAGCCATTGCTGTAAACTTTCTGTGACGGATTAGCCAGAATTAAAGGTCATATAATAATGTTAGCAGTGATATTATGTGTTTTCCAGGCATACAGAGCCATTTTATGGCTACAGAACTGCAGCATCGCAATGAAGATCATCTAACTCTAAGTCGAATTCAAGAGCAAAACACCGAGAGGCCGTTTTCAAAACCAGTGGTGTGATCACAGTAAGTAGCTGTGACGGCTTGCTAGCAGGTTAAGCTATCGCAACGCTCCAGACTAACTGGTTTGTACTTCAGTGTCCAACCTTTGCAATAAGCTGCACAGTCACAATATCTAGGTGAGCCCCAATATAGGAAACCTTTCAACTACATGTCAGGTGTCTAATAAATCTGAGAAGCTGGTAACAAGTTAAACAAAACAGACGACTCTGAAGAGCTCACGCATCTAGCTAAATGCTAACTGACGTTGCATTTGCTGCAGGCAGCGAAGGCAATGGAGGAAAATGAAGTGGACAGGTGGAGAAGGAGGACTTAATTCACTCAGCTCACAGACTGAAAAGCACCCCTATATTTGCATTAAAACAACCCCTATATTTTTATCATCTGTCTTGTTTTCCCATCCTTGTTGCTCAGAGGTGCAACTTAATGGCAGCTGAAACTTTCAAAGTAAAACCTTAATTGGTTGCAATTGAATTCAATCAGGAATTTTAAGCAAGAGGCGATTTATTAATGCATGTGTTAAGAGAATGTCTGACACAAGTCTTTCAATGCCTGTAATTGAATGGATCATAAAACTTTTATTTCAGTCTAACCGTTATCCTGATAACTTTGCTATCAGACAGTAGAAGCTGTAAAGTCTCGCTGTCTGTCAGAATGTGTGCCGTGTGAACGTGTCACGGTGTGGGCTCTGACCCCAGCCGATGGCCAAGTAAATGTAGAAGTATTTCTTCTCGCTGAAAACAGTGATGACGAGGAGGCTGTGCAGATAGATGCCTTCCACCAGCAGCCAGTAGTTGTTGGCGATCACGCTGTACTGCATCATCACCATGGCGCCTCGGCACCACATCACGGCCTGAAATGCAACGCGGAGGAGGAGCAGGGGAAACAAAGCAGAGACACTTACGTTTTAGGGCACCATGAGCAATCCATCAACATTCAAAACCTCTACATGCAAATTTTATCTTAAACCTTTGTTGAGGTAAAAATATTGGCTTTTTCAAGTAGATATGTTGAAGTGGACTTTAGCTTTTTAGTTAAAAACTGCTGCAAAGTGTTGAGCACTTTCCTGATAAAACTACATCGGACCTAAACAACAAATCTGTGGAAAATGTCATCACTAGAGAGATAGTGTCAGGTATGGAGTTTAAATGGGCCAAAGCCAACACTGCTACTGTATTAAATCAAAAGTTGTTTGACGTTTTCCCTTAAATAGAGAACATGAGCTGAGATTGCTCTTTCAAAGCAGGTTCGTTTTACACACCTGATGGTATGTTCCTGTTTTGATTAAATCATGTTCAGATCTTTGGTTGATTGGTTCAGACACAGAACTGTTCCTCTTGAAATGAAACAAATATTTACTAAAGTCCAGGTGAAGAAAAACTGTGCTTTTTTTTGTTTTTTCATTTAAATATCAGGGAAGGACTTGACAGAAGAAAGACAAGGCTGAGTAAACAGATTGCTGTTGATTTGGAACCATAATAGATGCAATATGTCTCAACATACAATCAATATTTAATCGGCTTCTTATTGTGCGACGGCTGCTGAATTTTAAAATAAGAACGGGCTGGGAAAGCTAAACACTTATTGTGGAAAAATGTGTAAGTTATATAACAAGTCACTTTTTCCCAGTAGCTGCGCTATGCTCCGTTTCTGAATATTCTGTATTCGAAACACACCTTATCAAGAACATTTATGCTGCGTTCGGTTTAATTTAGGATTTTGGGAGAAGCACCGAACACGAGTGCAGCATGCGCTACTTAAAAGTTGGAAAGCAAGTGAGATTTGCTCTAAGAACTAGTAGGGATGTTAAGCTACAAGATAACAGTTGAAATTAATCCCCGCTTTTCTCAAAGTGTCGTAGTAATGTTGCTGATTTGAAAAAAAAACAAGAAAAGAAAAAGAAAAGAAAAAGAGTGCCAGCTGGTGATGCTGACGTTCTTACTGGTATGTTGACCCAGGCCTGCGTCTGGGCGTCGCTGCCGCTCTTTGGGTCCAGCATCAGGCTCAGCAGAGCGTCTTTGATCAGAATCGAAACGGCTCTCAGGATGAACGAAGCAAACAGGTTCATGTGGATGTTGTTCCTCATGCAGTGAAGCTTCCTGTGAAGAATTGACCAAGTGGATTATCTCTATTTTTGCATTGGTCACATTTATAAATCAATCCATTGTAGTTTCCTTCTTTTATTCCCTCTCTCTCTCTTTCCCTCATTCACCCTATCCATTTTTATTCTTCTCTATCATTATTCTTCACTCCTTGGCTTTCTTCTAGTTTTTGGATCGTCACATTTTAACATCAAGTAGAGATAACCTGGGTAAATGCAAACCATGTTTTCAGGTGTTGATTAAAAGTCATCAGAAACATCTTGGTCCAATAGGAAATTATACTGCAAATTAATTTTTTTTTGTTTCAGTTCAGTTTACAAGCTTATGCAAGGTTACTAACTAACTAAAACAAAACATGTCTGTCGTAAAAGTCAAATATCACAGCCCCATCTGTAGAAAATCAGCATACAGATGCTACATCTAAAGAGAAACTAAACCCCAAATTAACTTTATTTTGCAGATGAACAGCCTAAATTGATCCTTATCCCAAGTGAGTCTTAAAACACACTTCATTTACATAATGAGGCAGAAATACACAAGGTATACATGTGTTTTCTTGTCAAAAACGCATGCATAAGGAAAAGAAAATAACAAAATGCATATATTTCTGCTTTTATTTTTAACTATGTTAGTTTTGGTCCTCCATAAAAACCTTCAAACATTAATTACCTTAACTCATTAGGATAATTCTGCAGAAAGAGTTAAAATTTATCTGCAGTGATAAAAGAAGATGCCACAAATGCTTGCTGGTATTTGTTCCAGCAGTGGAACGGCTGCATGTTGGCTATAAGGGGCGATTTCTTTTCCACATAGTTCCATCTGGCTGGTTTGGAAAACCATTTATCCTTAAAAAATGTATTTACTCAGGGTTTCTTTGCCTGTTGTTAAAAGTTACTTGGCAATCTTGTGAAACAACAAAAAAAAAAAAAAAGAAAAAAGAAATTTGTAGAGGGAAAAACTACTTTTCACAATTTATTTTTGCCTTTTCATCGTCTTCTACCGGTTTAATTCTTGAATTGTTTCATTTCCATTTAACCTCTTCAATATCTATATCATGTATTTTTTTTTTTATTATTAAATTTATTTTTCAATTGCTTTCTTATTTCCCCAGATTTCTACCTTGGAACTCCGTTTCCAGTTTCTTTCTTTCTTTCTTTCTTTCTTTCTCTTTTAGAAATGTATTTTCCCTCTTGTCTTCATCCCAGCGCCTGTTTCTCTCTGTCCTATCCATATCGTACCTGAAGCTGATGAGAATGGCCAGGGCCAGCAGCAGCGCTCCGAGTGACAGAGAGTATCCCACTGTGTACATGATGCGCAGCTTGCTGAGGATGCGGCCATACTGCTGCTGCAAACCCGACTGAAATGCAAACACAGTTACCTTTAAAGCATTCGTGCTCCTCACACACACACACACACACACACACACACACACACACACACACACACACACACACAAAACATAGAAAAGGCCTCTTTGTGGACAGCTGGGAAGATTTTACTGCATTCTGCCTTTCTAGATTGTGTCAGAGTTAAAGAATCACCCGACCATCTGCCACACGTTCAGAGCTAAATATTCCCAAAGATTTCACGCACCTCGCCGGGATCGTCGTCACATTCGCTGGTGTTCTTTTGTCCCCACTTGCCATCTTCGTTGCAGACCCTGTAGACCAAACCCCGCTGAACTGTTCACAAAGACACAGGACATGTGAGGCTGGGTTCAACCGTTCAGAAAGAAAGAAAGAAAAAATATTCTTCTCAGAACTGCAACAAAATGTCATCATGTGGTGAAGAAACGTCTCCTCCACCTGGAAGCCGTATTTAGCTCACCTTGACATCACACTGTTAAGAAAATGATGTTTTGTTTTCACATTGAGTGAGTGGTCCGTTCAAACACTGTGGATTTTCAGTGGAATGGATTTACACTTCATATTTCACGATGGAATGCGGATGTGTTGCACGACTATTTTTACATTGTTGACTTTCTGATCACAAACGAACCCTCTAAACCAAGACAGGAGCAACAAAGTCCTTCTTTGCTGTGATGAACTCCTGTAAATAAAGTCTATTATTATAGTGAATGCTGTCATCATTAATGCTAAGAGTCTCTCTCGACTTCAGTAACATAAATATAAAAATGACTTAATGCTTTAATAGCAGAATTAGAGTATCACACGTGTATCACACGATTTCACACGAGACCAAGAAGGATCTGACCTTCGGGGTTTAAGCTGTGGTAAAAATCCATTTCATTTATCTCTCATCCAACAAATTGCAGGTTTCACTTCATTCATTCATTTCTGTCTTTCATTTAATTAAATTGCAAGGGCGCAGGAAGAGCTGGGCTTTTTGTAGTGAATCCTTCTCCTCCATTGAATCCACAGTATCAACGACACTGGATGAGCGCCGCATCCTTGATGTGATTTTCAAAGGAGCTGATGTCAATAAGTTCTGACGGCATCGGACTGAAAAGCCTTTCAAATACATTTGAAAAAAAAAAAAAACAAACAAAAAAAAAACTCTGCTATAAGACTTGAAATATTTTATTTCTATGTTGAACAAAAGAAAGACCTTACATGTACTGGTGTTTTGTTGGTCAGGAAGAGTCGTCCTCCTGTGATGTAATGGGCCACTTAACCTTTCCCTTCATGAGTGTTTACATAAATCGAGATCTTTTCAAAGCCATTATTCTGCGCTGGATGTCAATAATAGTAAAAGCGTTTAAGCTGTTAGAACCTCCCCCCCCCCAAAAAAAACCATTCCTCTATAAAGGACTAAGATGTGTTTCCACAATTGCAATTTCTAGTTGCAACTTTCTAAACAAGCACACACCGCCCAGACGCCGACTTTGTCTTGTCTTGACATATTCAACCGTTATGAGCGGCGCAGAGATAATGAGAAAACAGCAGCACTGCGCAGCTAGAAATTTCACCCCAGAGAGTGAGTTCAATTTAACAAGCTGGAGCTCCAACACGATGTGATAACAGAGGGGAAATTATCTTTGGAGTTTAATTTTAATTAACTTAAAAAAAAAAAGAAGCTCGGATCGTAATTACACGTCTGAAACTTCAATGATCGGCATTTTATTACAGTACAAGAATCCGCACAAAGAGTTGAAAAGAGGCAGACGGCACGGCAAATAAAAACCGTCTCTTAGCGACGTAGGTGGTAGCGTCTAGAAAGAGTTTTCACCACCTCGGATGTTTTGACCTATAGATTTATGTCCGGGTTTAAGCTGGAGAAAACATGTGGCGAGTAACTGGATGACAAATCTGAGCGACAACTAGAGGACATGCTTTTATTTATCGATCATGAAGAGGTTTTAGATTGAAAAAATGACAAAAAAACAACAAAAAACAAAAACAAACAAAAAAACAAAAACAAATGAAAACTGATATCAACAAAATAATGACAACTAAATAAAAATATGTACCATACAATGAGTGATTACACAAAATGTTCATCCACCTTTCAAGTCAGTGTTTAGCAGATGCACCTTTGACAACAATCACAAGAGCCGCATGCAGTACGAATTATCCTGTTTCTCTTTTTAGAAATTTAAGAAGCCCTTGCAGACCCAAATAAAAATAATGGTTATTTGGCCTATTTTAAACAGTTCAAAAATATTCCGATGTTTTATTTTTCTTTTGTTCTGGACTTTGGTGCTGTGACGTGCTGTATACATGCAAAACTCATTAAAGCTAAACATGAAAGACATTCAGGCGACGGATTAGAGTGCTTACATCAGACAACGTTATGATCCACTGGACGTTGCTCCAGTTGGAGGTTCAAAATGTTAGATTTTCTCTTGTAGAAGAACGAAAACACAAATAGCAGCTGTTCAAACTGACCAAAGCAACAGAGATCACTTTTTAAGTGATACTGAGAACATTTTGGAAAGTTGAACTTTTGATTTAACTATGTTTAATTAATGGAGAGGGGTAGGAGGCCCAACATCAATAAATAAATGTTGTTGCTTTTTTTGTTGTTTTTTACCAAATTACCTGCGCCACAGTTAGCTACATCTTGACAGATTGTACAAAATCAACTTTTAGCAGATACTATAAATTCCAGTAAATCTAATGCAGCTCTTTTTTTTTTTTTTTTTTTTTAAATACAAAGCTATATGTTCTGGCTGCAATTTGCATAAAGGTAAAAAAAATATCCCAAAATATTCCTGGTCTGAATGAGAATCTTTTAACTCTGTGAATTTGCCTTAAAAGATCCGACTTATCTTCTGGTTCCTGAACAAGAAGACGACTCAAACTCAGGTTTGCTCACTTTCAGCGCCTGAAAATACCTCGGTGAATTTATGTTTTAGACAATAACTCATAAAGTCGACCACTGTCTTGGAACCTGCCATTAATAACTGCTTCTTCTGATGTAGAGGCCAATTTCACTGAAAACTATAACAATGCAGTTTCTCTTATCATCCTGCACACAGAAAATGGTGGTAGCAAGGTTTGAAAAAATATAAAACTCCTTCTTATACAAGTGCCAACATTTTTGTTCTTGCTATGTTATGCAGTTTCACTGTGAATCACCTCCTTTTTTTCTTTTCACAGCCTTACTGACCTTTTCGATGCCATGGCAGGAACGTTGGGCAGGAGACATTTACAGTAGTACCTGGACGTCCATCAGGCCAGCAGGCATACAAATCAAAGGTTCTGTTACACACCAACCCTGCAACACACACACACACAGAAAACAGCACATAATTGCTGCTTTGGATGGATGTAAGTCAGACATTAAATTCATCGTCAAGAAGTTCAGTCGCTCACCTGTGGCAGGGGGTGTGGAATTGATCTGGCTTGTGCAGTTGTCCTTGTAGTTGCTCCACTTCTCCTTCACAAGCTCCAGAGAGTTAGCAAAGGACACCTGCGACGGAGAGGCTTCGTGAGGCTCCAGCAACACAACAACAGCCCTGTTCTCCCCCCCTCCCTCCTCTCTACGCAGTCTCAGTCTCACTCAGTGGTACCCAAGGATGAGTGGATTAGGGAGGGATTAAAGTTGTGTTTAATTTTATGTGTGAAAGGCAGGGAGGGCATTAGTAACACTGTACCTTAGTGCAGCTGGAGAGCGTAAGCAAGGCCAAGAGGAGACACACCTGGGACATCCCACCGATGCTGGGAAGATGGGGGCCGGCAGGGACCAGAAGAGAGAGGAAACCCACATGAGGCTCGGCCCTATTCCACCCCACGGCCTGCACACACACACACACACACACACACACACACACACACACACACACACACACACACACACACACAAAATAAAATAGAAAGAGAATTTATTTTCTGAGAGTGTGGTGGAGGTGGCTGGAGCTGGACGTTTACGGCACAAACATTTCGCAGCATTAATGTCAAACACATGCTGTTCCGTGTCGGCCTTTAGAAAAACAAAGATGCCCTGGAGCACAATTTACACCCCGACTCATTTCAGCTCACGCACAGCTTTTCAGAGAATGCGCAATCCATAACGTGTCACTAATGGTCTGCCGTACATGCACAGGATCTCTTGTCAATACTCCAAAACAGAGAGAGATTTTAAAAACATCAGCACATGCCACGCAACGATCGGTTCATCATAACAGACACTTTGCTGTTACCTAGAAGAAGTATTTGTGCTTTTTTTTTTATGTCTGCATATTTTGTTGTATTAAGACCACATAATACAAAATACCTTATTACGATATTATGTGATGGATCAACGCAAAGTAGTGCACATCACACAAGTACCACCGTGCTTATGGCGAACATGGCAAATAGTATTTCAATAAATGTAAATTGTTTGAACGTAAACTTTTTAATAAATTAAAAACAGATTGGATTTTCTTTTAAAAACATGCGATTAAAAATGCATGATTTAGAGTCAGTAGATTCTGTTGTTTTACCACGACTACTGCTGCTAGGAGCCCTGATGGGGAAACAAGACGTAGCAGAACGCTCCATCAGATGAGCCTGAGGAAAACTGGACTTCTTCTCTTGTAACCTGAGTACATTTCACCTATAGCTACTTCAAACAAACGCTCAGAATTGTGAAATCATTTTCAAGCGAAAGGCAAAACCTCTTTATGAAACGGGAGAATAAATCCAATTGCCCTCTATTGAAGCCCTGAGGGTCTCCATGTCCTGCATGACTGAGGATCTACATCAGAGTCTGGTCAGCTGAGAGGGAAATGGAGCAACACTTTACCCTGAACACATCATCCTTAGAATGAAACACGGCAGTGGCAGCATTATGCTGGGTTCTTTTCTTTAGCAGGAACGGGGGAAGCTGCAGCTGGTGGGAAGATGGCTGCGAAGCCAGGGTTTAGGTCAAAGAATGTACTTTTTTTTTTATAATCTATGGCAATTCTTGGAAATTAATGTTTACAAATAATTTCCGTCTAATCTGACTGAGCTTCAAGTATTTTGCCAAAAAGAATGGGTTAAAATTTCAAGGTGGCGTGAGGTTGCTAATGAAATGTGTGGCACACTTTTAAGACATTAAATTGTAAAAAAATAAATAAATAAAAATTGTTGAAAATCATAACTTTCTTATCTTCCAATTTACAATTTTTCACTATTTTCATCTAATATCGTTACAAAACTCCAACGCTGAGCTTTTCACATAACAAAATGTAAACAGATTCACAAAACACATTTTGCAAGGCGCTCTCCTTTAATCATGTTTGCTGTTTCTTTTTTCTAGGCTGGGATTATGTGGCGCCGGTTGACCTTCTTCGCCCACGCAGTTGGAGAACAAAACGAAATCTGAAACGTTTCTGCAAAAAACACCTTGAGCATGGAAACATTTTTGGCTAAAACGTTTCAAATTCCATTCTGTTCCAGTCGATTTTTGCTTCGGACGCAGAGGATCCCATCCAGTATCCAGTGCAGAGTCCGCGCTTCTCACAGGGATCTGAGCAAAACATCAATAGCCTGTCAAGCTGTACAGATTAGAGCATTGCTCTTTTTTTTTTTTTTTTAAAAGGACGACAGAACAAACAATAAAACAAATAGCTGGGATTTGATGCTACAGTTGTAATCCTCTTTTTCTATGAACACATTGGATTCCTATTAAGTGAACAGCAAACAAGCGCAGAGTAGGAACATAAGTTGTTTTGGGGCTAAATACAAAGAAATCAAATGGATTATATGGGCAAGAATAAATATTCTGAGAAATGCATTTGCTTTTTTTTTTTTTTTTTTTTTAAATCCAACAATAAATTTGAATCTTTGGGAGGTTCTTAAAATGTATGCAACGATTTAGTCACTAATTTGCTTCCATCCAGAACTCCTTAAAAAAAAAAAAAAAAAAAAAAAATTTTCATGTATATAAAATCCATCACTGGATTATCTTTCCCATATTTGTAGAACTTTACATGCTGGACAACAAGAGGGTTTAGGAGGATTACGAACGATAAGCTTCAAAGTATGACAGGTTTGAAAGGCAAACTAAACATTGTTGGTTTTGCTCTTTCCATAGATTTTGTTGGCAACAGCAATAATAATAATAATAATAATAATAATAATAATCTGTTCTTATCCACTAAGCTGCAGCGGTTGAGATTATGAGCCATGCCTGCGGCTCCCTCTGCTTTGCTCGTGGTGTTCCCCACGGAGGACTGAATATGTTTTTAAGTGGAAATACTCCTATTGTAAATACAGAGGTGCTTCAAATTGAGCCACTGTTGTTCATTTGTGTCATGAGCTGAAAGAAACACGACAGTAACACTGATTGTGGTACTTACTATCACACTGTTAGCGTTTTGTTAAGCTCTTCTCTATATGAAGGTTATTTCCCCTCAATTTCAAGAAGATCTCTGCAGGTTTCAGGAAAAAAAAAATATCGAGGGACGATAAGAACAACTTGAAATAATTTGTATGATAGTTGAAAACATGCATATCATGTTCATTATGTTGGAAAGGATAAAAGACATATAAATGCCATGAACACAACGCTTTTGAAAATACAAACATTTCTGTGTCGAAATCATCAGATCAGAAGAGTGCATGTCAGTCCATTAAAAAGTTTGCTCTTTTGGTATAATAATTTTAAAAAATCTTTTTTTTTTTTTTTACCTTTAATTAAGGATTTTAACAAACACCTTAATTAAATGTGCCTTAAAGATCATGTATTAGGGATTTAATCACAACTTTGTATTGTAGTGGATTGACCAGTTTGGATATTTTTCTGTGGAAAATATCCCTGTGGAAAGTAGCCCTGTGACCAGTGGCTACTTAGCAGATCCAGTTAATGGTTATACTTTAAGAAGTTGACCTTTAACACTAATAAAATTAATAAACCCATTTAAAACTGCCAGTAAGATTTCATTTTCAATGCAGTCTAGATGTTACCCTGTAAAACTACTACTAAAAAGAAATAAATTTTAAACTAACATCATAATAACACATTAAAATAACAATGCATAGAAAGAGATGGTTACGCGAATAAGATTATTCACGAATCATATTCGTGAATAAATTACCTATTTGCACATTTTTTCTTATCCGATGGACAATAAATCTTGAGAGGCCGCTTTACGTAGACTCAGTGCTATTGGCTGATGTTTGCAAACGAGCCAGTCCATAAGTGGCATTTACTTTGGTTGGTGCCGTTTCCCACAGAGGACGAGTGTGGACGTCAGCTTCTGCGGTAGCCAAGGACAAACTCCAATCTCTGTGTGAGACGGTAACGGACAAAGGTTTCATGCTGAAGTGTTTGCACAAGCAGTGAGAATACCATGAGCTGTTTAAATCCTCTTTAAGCACACATCCTCATCTTGTTGAATGTTTTACTCCAGTTTCTGAATATCACAAGAAATATTTCCCAAGGACCGGCGACACATTTAGTTTTGAAAAAAGATTAAATCACACAGCGGCCACAGTGAAAACCTTTTGGAGATGAAAACCTATATCCCAATTCTCATGACACACGCGGCCACAGAAGCAATTGATTTGGCCAGATAAGTCAGCATAAAGAGGTTAACGTGCTCATGTTAATATACAGATGTGTGTATGGGTTATGCAACAGGCCGCCAAGGTTTTCATGCAACCAGGACACACAGCAAAGGACGACTAACCGATAACCTAACCGACCCGCACAGGCAGGTTTAACGTTATGCACAACCAATCACAGATAACACGACGTCACGACATGATGGTATCTGACTGTAATTTATTATCATATTTATATTCAGCACAGAGGAGCTGGGGCTGAAAGCCGGACATTAAATCCTGAAAGCATCTTTCCTGATCTTTAATTTATAGCCGTGGCGCGGTATCTTGGGATCGGGAAGATTACCTTAATCTCGGTGCACTTCAGAGCTTTAAGGGACGGTTTTTGCAGTCGAAAGCCTATCACAAAATTATCCGAATTTGCGGCGGTTTTCATTCTCAAAACTCAAGTTTAGTGCTTTTTCGTATCTTGTCATAATGATGCGGTGCCCTTAACAACTCTGCGTCTCATCTTGTTTTTGTGTTAAACCTCCACGTTTAAGTATTCGTTTTATTTGCCACAGTTTGACTCTGAGATCTCACAGTGAACTCGAGTGACTATTACAGCAATCTACCTGACATTTCAACGCAAACGCCGCAACGCCACAGAAAAAGGACTAGGAAGCCATAACCTTCTGTGTGAGGAGCGAGGAAGAGAGAGAGGGAAAGAGGGAGAGAAGACACACAAAGAAGCGAGAGATAAAAATAAGAATATCTGATAATTGTTGTGTGACCAAGTTACTCGGCATGGCTCAGTTGTTTTCCTTTGCGATATTCAGACTATGTAAATTACCACACATTACGTTCTGCACACTTTGTGTATCTGGGAGCCACTCATAACGCTCCGTCGCCTGCAGTTGTTTCCTTTAACAAACTGTATGTAGGCGTCATTTGCATTTTTTAATTTGTCCGCACATGCACACGCACACGCACACACGCACACGCGCACACACGCATGTTTTTTTTAAAGACACA